CAATAATAATAGCGAATACCACACGGCTGTAGTAGTAACAAATATTTATTTACTCTCATTATTTGTAATGGTTCTGCAGGTCATTATTATTTTGAGAGAAAACGGTGTTTTTTCATACATAAGTTATAACTATAAATCTATTTAAAAACTTAAAGTTTACGCTTAGACTTGTATACGACCACGCAGAAGACAGGCGTGAAGTGGGAGAATTCCTCGTTTCGTCTGATGAGTGTGGTGCCGGAGGCCCAACTTTAGTCCCTTTTCCTTCCCACCCTTTTTCTTATTCGAAAAGGATGGGAAGGGAACGTGGATTTGATGGTGCAGGAGACGCATAGGAAGGGGAAATATCCTCTTTATGTCCGTGTCCTCCTCCGTCGATCAAGGGTAGGCAACGCGTCCGCTATTGCGATTGTCTATGGGCAGTGGTCGCTTCGCCATTTAGACATTTTCGCCTTATGATATAAAAAAAAACTTAACTAAATGTAACTTATTTATCTGATTTTTCTTGAAGACGTGACTTTCTAAATTACTCCAACTATTGTACTTAAATAAAAAGCACTATAATAAAAACAGCGTTATATTTTTCTTCTTCACAAAGGTGAGCTTTTAAAAGCTCACGTTTAAAGAAATGAGACACGTCCGACCAAAATATTAGGCGTCACGCGCGACTTCAGTAGATGTGGGCCTTGCCGTAGTACAGATAGCCTACCGGGTTCACTTTACTTAAGGTAAACTGTAGTCCAGGGCACTCGGAAAATACAATTGGAATAGGGTTGTAACGGAACATCGCTTCCGCATCTGCAAATGCGGAACTTCCGCAAGAAATATTTACTCCTCATCCGCTTCCGCTTCTGTTATTTCTTATACGGAGTGGAGCGATAAGGTATAGTTTATGCGGCCCACGAGGGCGTGCTAGGACAACTAACTATAATTGTAATACATTATTACATGATACGAAATGATTACCCTTCTCAGTCGGACTAAAGTAACCTTTGTTACTAAGTTAATAATACTAAAGCCTTCGCAATGAGATACGACTATCAAGATAAGATGGCCGAATTAAAGAGAATGATTACCGATGTGAACGTAGTTTCATACTTGTACAGTCGTTAACAGAAATGCAATTTTTATTTATTTTTATTTATTTATTGAGATAAATAACAAGACAAAATTATGACACACATTTTCGCACAATACAGTAAGTAACATGCAGATAATTTGTCCTAGTTATAGGTTTACACGACATACATAGAATAACCACAACAACAGTAACGACAGTAGACAGAATATGTTCTTATCTATTTTTTATTGAACCCAAAACGTAACATTTAAATTAAATTTAAGCAATAACCTCTCGTAGATATTTTTTTTAGTAATCAACTATTTTATTCGTGGCTTGGCCGCAGGTGATGCCAAAACATGTTTTTTTAATAAATTAATAGTGTCCAGTAATCAATATTATAGTCTATACTAATATAATAAATCGTAAACACACACTTCTTTGTTGCCTAAGATGTCAGCAATTACAGCATATTTTTTAATAATTCTTATTTTCATAAAAAGCCCTACAGTTACATCACGCTTTAGGATATACATTTTCACGCTATTAAACTTATAGGGTAAATAAATTGGATAAAAACCTTAATGTGGAAAAGAGACCTTAAGCTACGAGCTGCCAACATCAAGGTACAAAGTCTGTTTATGCATTTGAATTTTGACATTTCACAAATGTAAACAATAAAATATTTTTTTTTTATAATTTAACGCGGATGGAGCACGGGAACAGCTAGAAACATAAAGATATCAGATGAAGCTGGTAGTATACTTGTTAAAATATTAACATTGACCGTTGTACGCGAGTGTACCGTCCAAATATTTGTCATAGTTCCCACTATAAATCCCTACATCAGATAACATCCTTAGGTTTAGCGAACTTTTGCCTTTTGTCGTTAAATCTATCCTATTCTTCGTCAAAACTTTTATCATACAAAAATCTTTGGTAATTTACGGATTATAGTTCAAGTTGTTTTCTATAGTTTCTGAGAGTAAAAACTACATTTTTCCCTTTTATAAAAATCTAAATAAAAACAGAATTAATGCCTGTCTAGAAGTCGAGGAGGCTGGACTGAATTTGTCGGGACTTTGAGAACGTGCGTGCTTTGACTAAACTGTCGCTTTAGTCTCGCTTTGATTCCTTTCAGCTCCTTTCCTCCAATGCAGGGCACTCTACTCGATTTTTAGTTGTACTCGTACTAAACAGTTAAATTGGCTGCGAAACAATCGACAATCGCACATTTGTGAGATGGTTTAGTCAAAAGTGTGCGCCCGGTCTTAATGGAAATGAGGTGATGTATGCTGTAGTAACATAGGCGTCATTTTGTATTCCAAGGGCCAAGGGAGCAAATCATACTAACATCATAAATTCGAAAGTTTAGATGGGTAGATGGATGTTTGTTAGAGTTTGTAACCTCAACGGCTAAACGGATTTCGATGACATGGTATAGATGTAGAGGATAGTCTGGAAGAACACATAGGGTACCCACTTTTGTTTTTTTTTAATTCCATGCAGACGGAGTCGCGGGCGAAAGCTATAATAGTATAAAATATGTCTTTAAGGTATGATTGAACTACAAACTATTACGTAATATATTTTTCAATATGAACATCACTAAACATATCATTTTCTGTCATAAAACGATAAAGAACTCGATCAAAAGTTTGTCATCCATTGAAGGTTTTCTATTAAAATTTCAATGGACTTTGTACTTAACGCCGCAGTGTATAAACTTTAGTCATGAAATATGAATAGTGTTGGTCTATAAACTTTAAACATGCTATTTTATCGATAACAAAATATCGATAAGTCCCTAATAGATTGTTGCTACTAAAGTTGGAAGCAATTCTTACCTTTACAACAATCCGTAGATTTATTCACTATTCAGAATGTTGCAGTTAAACTATTAATTAGTTCTGTTAACGAACCGCTAAAGTTAACTGAATGTTGAATCCAGTTGCGCCAAGTCCCAATCTAGTTACGGTTAGCTTTAGTGTTAAGTTAATTCAGTACTGACTTATCAAGATTCTGTTGTCCAAGTTGTGAAACTTGAAAGACTTGCGAGAAATTTCAACTTACTGCAATTCCCACGTAATATTGGAAAAAATTGTTTACGCTTTAAGTTTTTTTGGTGCTGGAGGCCTAATTTAAGTCCATTTCTCTTTACCACCCTTTTCTTATAAGGAGATGGGGAGGGGAAGTGGATTTGGCGGTGGAGGAGATGCATAGGAAGGGGAAATATCCTCTTTATGTGCGTCTCCTCCTCCGTCGGATAAGGGTAGGTAACGCATCTGCAACTGCGGATGTCTATGGGCAGCGGTCGCTTCGCCATTTTGGCGGATTCAGGTGGCCGCTTGCTCGTTTGCCACCTTATGTTATGAAAAAAAGAAAAAAGTTGAAATAAAGTGTTTTTTTAATTTGAAGTAAGTAAATTAAACAATACCTTTTCGATTAGTTCAACGTATTATTTTTGTACCTTAATTCCCAAATCTTTAATGACTAGCTTGCGCCCGCGACTCCGTACGCGTGGAATTTAAAAAAACTAAGTAACCTATATGTTCTTCCAGACCATACTCTAAATCTATGCCAAATTTCATAGAAATCCGTTCAGCTATTTAGGCTACAAACATCCATCCATCCAAACTTACTAATATTATAAATGCGAACGTTTCTATGGATAGATGGATGTTTGTTAGAGTTTGTAGCCTAAGCTGCAAGGGTCTCGATGTAATTTGACATAGACGTTGTGTATAGTCTGGAAGAACACATAGGCTATTCATTTTTGTTTTTTGTTATTCTACGCGGACGGAGTCGCAGGCGAAAGGTATTTAATAATTTTATGTAAGGAAAGGTACGTTTTAGCATAGCGAATAATAAACTCAAGTCGGGTTATATCGTTTATTTTAGAAACTGTTTATTATCGAAGTTTTTATGTAAGTGTTCAAACTACATTTGTGGGGACTAGTAAAACTTTATAGGTTATAAAGTGCTCCGTTTTAAAGTCTACATTCGTAGTTTTAATATTCAGAATTAGTGTATTTCATTAAAATTTAATTTAAAGGTAAAACTATAAAAGTTTAAATAATTGAGTTAAATTTTATACATCTATATTTTATCTATATCTATATTTTATAAAAAGACCGTTAAAGATAGATATATCCTATCGTGGACTTTTCTGTAGAACTTTTTGAGATCTACAATTCTTTCATACATCATTTTTATATACCTCTAACGGTTTAGGCAGCGTAAGCCGAGAAAAGTTGAAGTTTAGTGCATTTTTAACGCCGGTGTCCAGAAACACGCTGTTTATTAATAGCTCCTAAACATTAATAATAATAAAATATAATCTATGTTACTCACAGATAAATTACCTTTCTGATGGTGAAAGAATTTTTAAAATCGGCCCAATAGTTTTTGCGTGAATCAAATACATACAAAAATACAAATATTTCCTCTTTATTATATTAGTATAGATAGATAACGCAAATAATCTAATCTTACTAATATTATAAATGCGAAAGTTTAGATGAATAGATGTTTGTTACAGTTTGTAACCTAAACTGTTGAACGGATCTCGATATTTGTCATAGATGTCTGGAAGAACACATTGACTACTAACCTTTATTTTTTAGAACTCCGCGCGGACGGAGTCGCGGGTGAAAGCTAGTCTTACTCTAATTTTAATACAAAAGTTTAGATGGATGGATGTTTATTATAGTTTGTAACCTGAACGGCTGAACGGATCTCGAAGAAAATTGGTGTAAATGTAGAGGATAGTCTGGAAAACACATAGGGTACTTATTTGTTTTTTTTTAATTAATATATATTTATATAATTAATACGCGGAATTCGCGGTTGAAAGTTAGTAAATAAAACACTTTTCGATAAATCATAATTTTATTAAAAGGAAAAAGATACAGAATTATATAGTTTTTTTTTAATATAAATGCCAGTTTAAACCGGTTTGTAGTCGAGTTTGCTCTCTAACTTCTTGTTGTCGGCGACTTTCCGCACAGCCTTCATAAGATCCTCCTACAAATAAATATTATATTTTAGTTTACACAACTGATACTGAAAATTCAAATAGTTTATAATTATGCATAAACATAAACTTTATACATAAACAAATAAAAACATCAATCATTGTTAAAATGTTTAAATTAGGAGATACGTCATTTTACATGGGAATAATATTTTTTCACTGGTACTTTCTCTGAAAGGTATTATATCAGTTTGAAGTTTAATGCCTTCTCGTGTTGTAAGGATATAGTAATACTAGCTTTCGCCCGCGACTCCGTCCACGTGGAATTAAAAAAACAAAAGTGAGTACCCTATGTGTTCTTCCAGACTATCCTCTACATTTATACCAAATTTCATTAATGTCCGTTCAATAGTTTAGGCTGCAAACTCTAACAAACATCCATCCATCTATCCACACATCTTACTAACCTAGGTAATCTTACTAATATTATAAATGCGAAAGTTTAGATGGATGTTTGTTAAAGTTTGTAGCCTAAACTGCTCAACGGATCTCTATAAAATTTGACATAGATGTAGAGGATAGTCTGGATTAACACAGTCTGATCCGTTTTACTTTTTAATTCCTGAAAAAGTCGCGGGCGTAGACTAGTTTATATTAATTGTAAGATTTGCTCTAACCCTGTGCCAAATTTCGCGGAGATCCGTCCAGCAGTTTAGGCTACAAAATCTAACAAACATCCATATAAACTTTCGCATTTATAATATGTATATGATTAGTATATTAGTAAGAAGTAAGGACTAAGATAATAAAGAGGAAATATTTGTATTTTTCTATATATTCGATACACGCAAAAACTGTTAGGCCAATTTTAAAAATTTTACGATTAGAAAGGTATCTGTGAGTAACGCAGGCTATAATTTTTTTAATTATTTTTTTTATTTTAACTATTTCTAAATAAGCTTTAGGGTTAAATTAATTACCTGAATAATATATTCTCTTTCAGCTCGAATCGCGAATAATCCAGCTTCAGTACAAACATTACGTAAATCAGCGCCATTGAAGGTATCAGATAGTTTAACTACCGCTTCGTAGTCCATCTCTCCGTGCTTCGCGATCGGTGCCGCGTGGATCTTCAGGATCTCCAATCTAAGGGAAATGACGTCACAACACTGTACTGAACAGCACATGCAGAGTGGTTTTAAAAAATAAATAAATACTTTGGACCTTGCGATGTCACACTATACTTTGAAAGTTATGACGTCACACTATACTGACCAGTACATGGACTGAGTGGTTTTAAAAAATAAATAAATACTTTGCAACTTGTGACGTCACAACACTTTACTGAACAGCACGTGCTGAATGGTTTTTAAAAAAATTACTTTGGACCTTGCCACGTCACAACACATTACTTTGAAAGTTATGACGTCACACTATACTGACCAGTACATGGGCTGAGTGGTTTTAAAAAATAAATAAATACTTTGCAACTTGTGACGTCACAACACTATACTGACCAGCACATGTGCTGAGTGGTTTGAAATAAGTAAATACTTTGGACCTTGTGACGTCATAACACTATACTTTGGAACTTGTGACGTGACAAATCTTAGACTTAGAGCCTGTCCCACCAAATTGTAAATTGTCCGATTTTGGTACTCTATCTGACACAATGACGTCACTTTTAAGCTATCTGAATCTTTATCAGCCAGTGGTGGGACAGCTCCCAAATATAAAAATTATATCTACTATTTTCTTATAGATTATCATAAGCTCTTCATTTTTAATATCCAAAATCTGATTTCTAAACCTATCTATTCACACAGATCAGTGTATTACAGTGTGAAGTATTCGCTACTGACCTGGCCTGTTCATTGGGCAAGGGTATCTCAATCTTCCTGTCCAGGCGGCCGGGGCGCAGCAGCGCGGGGTCCAGGG